ATTCAATGCCAATGAATCCAGTTTTTGACGCGCTTTCATTTGGTATAAATACATTGTGATATTATCTGTTCTTTAGGTTCTAGAGGGAGGGAGGCAAAGGTTATGTGCCACCCTGAAAGATTACCCACAATCGTGAATGTTTTATGAAAAAAGCGATAGGTCACGTAAATAGGAGGGTGAATAATTGTAGAACCTACTGTATTTGCTGTGTTGTTCCTTTAAGTCATACACATAGTGATGAAATTTTGATGTTTTACGATGAAATAGATAATCAACGTCCGGTATCAATGGTAAAACAATTATCCTCTTTTGACTTTACATGTGTGTTTTCATTTCGTTTTTTTTCTTTATTAGGCTTATATGACAGGTTCATTGACAACATACTCATTTCTCAATCCCGGTAAGGTAGAATGTTTTATGCATTTTTTTTTGTTTATTTATGTCTGTAAATTTCTATAGCATACCGTGTTTATGCTGTTGATGGTGAATATCCGTCGAGTTCCTATTGGGTACTTGATCATCATACAGTTATCATGAATTTAACTGCAAGTAATATCTATAATAAAACAATTTTTGTTGATGAATATTCAGCTAGAAACGCTTATCAAATGGATTATCTCTTTCCGAATGATTGGAATAATTTTATTCAACGTCTGGAAAATGATATTGATGGATCATTAATGGGACTTGTTTATCAATATTATACAAAATCATATGCAAACGGAGCACAATGTGATCACAACTGCCGTCGTGGTTTGTTGTGCGATTTTAAAACAGCTCGATCAGAAGACTCACAATTCTGTGATGCAATACCACCAAAAGCCATAAATGTGTCGTAAAAAGAGACTCTGTCCGTTCATTATTCTTTTCAAATTGTCTGTTCAAAATGTTACACTCATCAGGTGTAATTTCTATTTTCTATTATGTCTACATTTTACAATCAGAACGTTATGTGAAAAATAAGGCTATATTTCCGGTGCTTCGTGTTCTCATAGATGATTGCGATCCTTTTTTATATAAATTATATAAAAAAACAAATACAAATACTTTACAATCAGGTCTCAGACACAAAGATTCAACCATAAATTCGTTAATAGATCTTGTCCATGTTATCAGTCCTAACTCTGAAACGGAAAAAGTATCGAGAGCGATTTTTCTTCGTGATACGACTCTTTCGTGAACTGAAATGTGATGGCAGTAAGCAGCACGAGAGTGAGTGTGAAAAGAATTCCGTTTGCAGAAGAGTCCGTGTACGATTTTTCTTGACGTTTGAAAGCGTTTAGCTCGGCGTGGCATCTGGCTTACTGTATAAACTCAAGCAGAAAGAAGTATATTAAGATGGCTAGAGTCCTGTTTAAACGATAGAACGATTGTTACCACTACAGTGAAGCTTTTTTTCTCAAGCACATCGGCAAGTGCAAACCTCAAGATTGGTCTCCATGCACATGAAGTTCTTACTCATGCAAAACGCTTGAGCTAAGTGCTTGGCTTTCTTGTCTCATGCGCTTGAGTTGCTTGAAGTATGCTCATGAAGGGAGAAATATCTAAAACAATGTGCATACCTCAAGAAAGTCCTATGCATACCCAAGAAGGTAATGTACATACACCTCAAAAGAGTCATGCACTGTCCATTTTCCGCTTTGTAAATGCCTCTAACTTTGTTTTTTAAACTTGATTACACCATGTTTTACTCGGACTTTCCTTCAAGAACATGATACAATCAGTCTTTTAGTCTTTCTCGACCCTCTGGCACTCTCAGCATGCCATAATCTTTATCTACAAAGGAAAAGAAGTCATGTTCAATGGAAAGCTCATGACAGTTTAAAGCAAGCACACAGCAATTTTGACTTTGGACTATTCAGACCATCCTTTAAATCTTCATTTTATCTTTTATTATACTATTGAATATAATTTTTCGATAATCTGTGATGTATTTCTTCGAGAAAACTTTCCCCCTCAGATTGACTCAGTTCGCCCCGCGTTGTATTTCTCAGTTTTGGTGAGGCATGTGACTGGAATTTGATCTCAAAATAAAAGTGAGAGAGGTTGATGTCTTTTAAGGTTCGCCTGTGAGTTTTACCAATAAGGTAACGTTTACCCTACGTGAAGAAAACATTCGCGCTTAGACTTCCAGAGAAGCGTATCCGTAAATACTAGACACTAATATCAATTCGTTGCTGCAGTCAATCTAACAACCTGTGAATGAGACGGAATAGTTTAGCACCCAATCCTCTGTGCATCAAACAGGATCAAACTGACACTCGCCACGTCTTGAAAGCCGCCAACGACAAAGCGATCTTACATCGAAGAAACTCACAATTGTGATGATAAGCATCAACCATTTGGAGCATGTCTTACCTTCGTACATTTTTATTTTTGAGATCTAGCTTTAACTGAGCCTACACCACGGGAAAAGAACTGTAGATTCGGTATATTATCCCTTTTTATGATAAGCAGTTAGAAAACGCAGGCTAACATGCAAAAAATGCGAGTAAAAATGGTCTTCAGCTTCACAGCACATTAAAAAAAAGACGAAATGGCTGTGTCGACAACGTGCATTATTCTCGTTCATGTATATGATATGACGACCACATGTCTGATCTATACACAGACATGTCCAGCCTATTTTCTGTAATATTTGCATTGAAAGAACGAGATTAATACTGGTTAAAGGAGATCGAAAAGACAAGAAAGAAGTTTAGCTCAAGAAAGCGTTTGGGATAAGAATCTCATGCTCATAAGTTTCCTGAGACACGAAACTCAAGCACGCACGGAGTCAAGCGCAAGACATCGTTTTGCATGAGTAAAAAATGTCTCCACGCCGTGAGATTCCTACTCAAGAAATTCAGGAAAGTCGTATGCTTGAGAAAAAGAGCTTAAAATAGTTTGTTTATATTTAGAATTAGTTCAATGCATAATCTAAATATAATGATATAAATACTGTAGCATTACCGCCATCACAGCACAATCTGAAACAAAAGGAAAAAAACAATCAATATTTATGCTGTATTACTTGGGATGTCTCCATGAATAGAAAATAACTCAAATCATACACCTTACACGCTCTGAATTTTACCCGAGTATTTGTCGTGTTAGTGTCTTGAAATTTGCCTACCAAACAAAAACCTTTTTATTTTTTTAATCTGTTTTTTAAAAATACAAGTAAAAATTGGAGATAGAAAATTATGATGATATAAAATTCACACGTATAAATGCATTTCGAATGTCTTCTTCAGTTTACGTATGTAAAAGAATATGAGAAAAATATGCAGCTTACATAGCCAGAAAGGACACGTTAAAAATAATCATTGAAAACTCGGATACCCAAGAATAGAAAGATTTGGGCAGGAGCGGATGGGAACAGAAAGTGGAGGTGTACGGTAAAATGTGTGACGATTTCGTTAGCTAAATGATGAACCATCAAGAAGCCGCTATAGTTAATAATAGCCTCCGGTGGTGACAACTGCAATAAGAGATTTGTCCTACTTCTGGGACACCTTAGAAATGTGATTTTTCGTCTGCTGAAGCTGATTCGATGGTGCTTCGAAAGCTTTTTCGGAGTTTTGCACTTCAGAGACTCCGAAAATATCAAAAAAGATTTGGGGTAAGAATCATCGAAAAAAGTCTTTTGGTATTTTTGATTTCGCGTGAAAACGAAACATATTGGAAGTATCAGGGTAGAGGCAAAAATGGAGCAATCTTTTAGGCAAATCTTTTGCTGAAACTTTTCCAAAAACGTTGCTTTCAAAGATTTTTTGGCGGATGCGTGTGCATTGCGTAAGGTTGTCAGTGAGGTTGTCACTATAGTAGTTCAGGTCACTCTAGCACCTTCTCAAATCGTAGAAATGCATCAGCACAGGTATTTAATCAGTTTTGGGGGGACAGTCATCGAAAAAAGGCGTTTTTGGTTTCGCGTGAAAACCAAACATATTGGACGTATGAGGGTAGAGGCAAAAAAGAAACATTTTCTGCGGTGAATTTTTTGCTGGATTTTAAAGCTTTTTTGAAAAAAACTAAAACGATTAAATGGACTGGAGTTTTTGAGCTGTTGTTTAAACAAAAATCAATAAAAATACTTTTTAGTAGTTTTATTTGGGCATAAGGTATTTAGTAGGTATTTGACAAAGAGGGAGAAAACATGGAGCGTTGTTGATGAGAGTCTTTTTCATTCTAGGTGTTTGCACAACTGATTTGCGGTTGAAGTATGTGCTTGGTTTCTTTCTCACAAAAGTTCGGACAAGGTTGGGTGTTGTGCGAAAACCAAATATGGGCGTGATAGGCTCAAGGAGTGTGTCTGCAAACATCTGCCGCCAAAGCTGATTGAAACGTGTGGCGAAACGTAATGAGTTTGAAGTCGTTTATTAAAATTTTATTTGATGATTTCCGATGACTTGTAAAGAAGCAATTTCTCTGTCGTAACAAAGAAAGAATTTAATTATGAAAAATAGGACATACCTTCCAGGCAAGCGATGATAATATCTCATTCAAAGAAAGAACGACTTGGATAAGAGCTTTGCTTGAATAAGGATCTATTCATATATCAACATAACTGAGCTTTACGCTATCACCCAAAACGAAGATCTGCTCATGATGCCAAGCTTGCCGTCTGTTGTCTTGTTTTTCGTAGAAAAATCGCATAATTTAGCAAACATTTTAGCTTAACTATATTCTTCATATTTATTTAATGCAGAAACCGTACAGCAGAATTATGAAAACGTCATTTAACACCCAAGAGAAGAAGACATCATACTGCTGACATAGTAGCAAGTGTTTGCTTCAAAAAGTCTTTACATGTTGTTAGTCTCATACTTGTTTGTAGGATGCAGTTCTTATTTTTACACAGCCGTGCGTAGACGGTACGATAGTTTTTGGTTAATAACACGTTTAAGCTCCAGTCGAAACAATTTCGAACTAAGTGAATAAACAAAGAATCTTAATGCAAAATCTACATAGATAAAAAATACCGAAAGTTGTAAAACGAAATTTTCTATTGTAATTCTCAATGTAGACTTTAGTGTAACATTTGTTGTGAAGGCAGAATAGAGAAGATACGTCGGTGTTGGACTGGTAAATACAATATAAATTAAAATTTGACACAGAAGCATTTTGCATAACTGAAGATCATTCCGTTTCATTTTGAAAGTTGCTACGCTGCCTATTGGTGTTGTTCTTCGTTTTATTTGTCGTATGTTTTTTAGGGTTAAAATGCCGAATATCATCAGTGTTAATGGTGGAATTAAACCGTGTATTATTAGGAAGTAAAATGAATAAAATAATTGATAAGAGACGACTGCCGCACAAGTTGCATTTCGTATTTCATAAAACAGGTATATGTGAATTGATGTTAACAGCCAAAACAGACAAGTTGCAACAATGAGACCACGAGCAAATTTGATTGTACTCATTTGACGTTTTCTTGTATCTTTCGAAGAAACTAACCATCGGTCCACCGATGCATAAATAATAAACATTCGTGGTACTGCGACGACAACAAAAGTGAAATAATAACGAAATTTACAAAACCATAAAGATGTTTTTGTTGCATCAACAGTAAAGCCAAACTGTAAAAGACGAGTGGTTAGAGCGAAATTGAATGTGAATAATTGAGCGAACGAATTCGAAAGAAAATAGAGTGAGCAAGGATTGCTTCTCAAAGATGGCTGAGAAAATATAAAACAATTGCAAATCGAACCAAAATTACCGACTATCAATAGAAGTCCAAGCCCATAACGGGATAATTGTTGAATAAATAAATTCAGGGTGGAAATGATTGCTGCTTGACTAATACCAGTAACTTCTGATGAGTTGTTCATGATTATGATATGCTTAGTATGTCGTG